AGGGGCCGACCAAGGGCAAGATGGATGGATGGCATCCTTGAAGTGACTGGACTGACCTTGAGGGAGCTGGGGGTGGTAACGGCCGACAGGGAGCTCTGGCGTGGGCTGGTCCATGAGGTCACGAAGAGTCGGAGACGACTGAACGATTTATAGTTCATCTACAATCAAAGAGCATTCTGAACTCCACCAATGATGGAATTGAACCAATCTTGGCACACAGAACTCCCATGACCAACCGAAAATACTGGAAGGGTTTGGTGGGCACTGACCATGAGTTTGGGAGTTGTAGTTCACCTATATCCAGAGAGCACTGTGGACTCAAACAATGATGGATCTGGTCCAAACTTGGCATGAATACTCAAATGCCCAAATGTGAACACTGGTGGAGTTTGGGGAAAATAGACCTTGACATTTGGGAGTTGTTTGCTGGGATTTATAGTTCACCTACAATCAAAGAGCATTCTGAACCCCACCAATGATAGAATTGGGCCAAACTTCCCACACAGAATCCCCATGTCTTGAAGGGACTCGCTGGCATGAGCCTCCCTCTAGGCTTGCTCTCCCTCACCTGCACATGCGCATGACGCTGCCATCTGCTGGGTGCACCTGCACTCCCTTTCCCACTTGGAGTCTCAGAAACAGCCCTCCCCTTGGCTGAGAGACTGGCAAATCACTGAATAGGAGGGCTTTTGGTGAGAGGATTCGCCGTCTGTTTCCAAAAAGGAAGAGAAGGACAGGTGAAGAGATCTTCAGCTTTCTCTGCCAAAGGGTTTCCTAAGACCACCAGAAATATATGTTTTCTGATGGTCTTTTGGCGACCCCTCTGACATCCCCTTGTAACCCCCCCCCCCCGGGGTCCCAACCCCCAGGTTGAGAAACACTGCTCTAAGAGTATATCTTAGCCCCTGGGAGCAACCATGTTTGGAGTTTCCTTCAGCAAGCAAAAGCACATGAAGGTAAATTACACACATGAATAAGATGCTCACAGAAATTCAGGCTTCCCTTTTTAAAAATTACTTATCATTTGAGTTATTATATATTCACAATCTTCCTGCAGTGTCCCCATCATTCGTTTTATTACTTGGGCCAGAGTACTATTCCCGTAATCAGAAATTCACATCTTCAGTATTTTAAATGGATTTGTGCATCTCTGGAGTGAGCAAAAAACTGCTCAGAAATTCATGCATCCATAGCTTTGTAAGGCACACTGTGAAGGAAAGAACGTCCGTTTAACAAAATGTATCTTTAAAAGAAATGTCTCTTTAAAAAAGCACTGTGTGCTTTCCTAAAATGCATTGGAGCAAATGTCCAGTTAGAAAAGCTACACAATGGTACATGTCTAAATTCCTGATTGCTTTCAAAATTATCAAATGAACATGGAGATAAAGGAAGTAATGGAAGTAAGTAGTAATGGATTTGATGCCCCTGCATTGGCCTGATCCACACAGTCTCCAACAAACAACTTTTCTTCTTTGTTTTCACATGAGTTTAAAATATTTGATGAATGAAGTGTTATGGGAGCAATATATAGGTTCCTAAAACACAAAATAGTCTGCTGAGCCTTTGAAGAGACATCAGGCTGAATCTACACTGCCATACTGATAGAGCAGTGATCATGAAACTAGAGAAATCAAAGTTAAAAAATTTACTCCCTTTGTATTTAGAAATGAGCTTCCACTAAGAGTCCGTCTTGTCTGGAACATTTGTGGTTAGCACCTAAGAAACGTGTGCAATCAACAACTTTCACAAGACAGTTTGTGCAGAAGATTAAAAAGCTGCCAAAGTGTCTATTGCCATTTGCGTGTGCAAGTGCGATACACCTCCCACAGCCAACCCAAGAAGTATGCTCACACATGATGTGGGATGAACAATGGCCACAACTCATTTATTGATAACAGGAACAAGGGTTGGCAGCCAAGCATGGGTCCTGGATCATGATCGGGCAGCCCAATACTGCCCGATCCCGCACACACCAGGGTGCCGCCGGCACAATACCGGGCAAACGCAACTCGGCACCCCTGGGACCACCGGGCGTCCCCCCTTTCCACTAGGGGGGATACTAAACCAGATCCAGGGCCCATGTCCCACACCAACAAGGAGTTGTGACAAGGAGCATAAAACAAACAAGTAACTGTTAACAGGTAACCATGACAAGGTGAACAGCAACAAAAGTTAACTGCCAATGAAAACATGAACCGCATGCAGGGTGGGTGGGGTGGCTCAGCTATTGCAGGCCCAATGCTTGCTGGGGAGCCTGGGGCAGCCTTATGAAGGTTGCCCACAAAGGAAGGAGAGGCCAGCTCAGGCCTCTCCCGCAGCGGTCATGGTCAGTTGGCCATTGGCCAATTGACCCCCCGGCGGGAAACCTTCCCACCATTCGAGGGGGCTTCTGGGAGGAAGAAGCCCCCCCCTAAGGCCAGAATGGCGGTGGGGGACGCCCTGCACCGCAACTTCTTTGGCCCGGTAAGTCAGGCCATGCCTTAAACATGTGCAATCAACAACTTTCACAAGACAGTTTGTGCAGAAGGCTAAAAAGCTGACAAAGTGTCTATTGCCATATATGGGGGAAAGAGCTATGCGGGTCTTGTACCTTCCATTGTCAAGAAATCATGTGATTTACAAGAAGTCAGTTAGTCAATGTGTAAGGAATTAAGCCTAGGTGGTAGTTTGTAATTGGTTAACTTTTGCTGCAGTACCCAAGGGTCTTGTCTATATAATATAAGTCTGAGAGACATTGGGCGCGGCAGCCTCTTGAAAGTACCAACCTGCGTGTTTGGTACGGCTGGACCGTCTCATCATAATTATGCCGAAATAAACCTTGCCTTTGTACTTCTCCTGAGACTGGGTGTTTGCCTTTCAGCCTCCTGCAACCAGACCCAATGCATGGATCCTGAATTGGGGGTCCCTAACAATAAATTCTGTGTATTGTCGAAGGCTTTCATGGCTGGAATCACTAGGTTCTTGTAGGTTTTTTCGGGCTATAGGGCCATGTTCTAGAGGCATTTCTCCTGACGTTTCGCCTGCATCTATGGCAAGCATCCTCAAGCAGACCTCACTACCTCTGAGGATGCTTGCCATAGATGCAGGCGAAACGTCAGGAGAAATGCCTCTAGAACATGGCTCTATAGCCCGAAAAAACCTACAAGAACCTAATACAATTCAGTTCCTGATCTCAGATTATCTTCTTTGAACTGGATTATATAGCAGTGTATATCCAGCCTCAGCTTTTACACATTATACTAAGGCTTTTTTTTGCTTGCTTGCTGAAATGTAGAATAGTGATATTATATGTGTCATGACTCCTTTGAAGTCATGCCATAAATGTCAACATGGAACATACAACTGCTGTATATATACTACAGTATATGGAGTCTTACAAGGTTTATATAAGACAATTATGGCTGGGGCAGTCAAAAGAAAATCGGGGAACAGAGGAAGCAATCGAAATCTATGCTTGAAGTTAGATGTGACTGGAGGAGATTCCAGACAGCACTAAATCACAGGTTTTAAACAGGGGCAAAAAAATCCACATACAAACCGGGATTTCTACCTCTTTTGTCCAGACTTGACATTTTGTTGTGAGATTTAGAGGCTCCCAAGATGGCTGCCACAGGACTTCCACTAGAAACTTTGGCAGTTTTTTTTCAAGATGTGGATATATGGATATGCGGAGAATCACTACAGCGAATCACTACAAAAGTTATGTTCTGTGTCCTGTCCAGAGCAACTGTGCCCTCCAGACATTTCATGAAGACATATCTGTGACGTATATATGCCACGCAATTATTTGCCTTCTATTGAAGTGTCACTATCTTTTTAGGAATCAACCAATCAGAAACAAACATCTAAAACCGAGAACAAACTCAGATACAAAATTCCATAATTTCCAATTTCAGGGACATACAGACATGCGAAGAACTGCATATTCGGCTCAAAACCACAATAGTCCCGTACCTGGAAATCTCATTTTTTTGCGTTTTGTAGTGATTCCTTCCGCATTTACAGGGAATGGTGGTTGGCCACTCTCCTATTTACTGTGGAAGCTCCTGGGATAAAGGTAGTGTCTGGACAGGCCCTGGGAGAGTGACCCTTTCTCACATTAGTACAACAGGATGAGGATTTGACTGATGAACCTATGAACAGCTTGACATGCAAATGTGTAATAAGTTTGGCTTAGTAGAGATATTAATTTCTACAAAGAATGTCACAAGTTGGCTGACTCTACTGTTTGATAACAAATAAAGTACTATTTGAAAGATAATAAAACATTTATTTGAAACAAATGGTTAAATGGCTGGAAAACCTGTGTGTACACTCCTTCTCTTACACAAAAAGCCTGAGTAAATCCCATATATAAAACATA